AGGGCAGTGGGGTGCGACGCAGAGCGCGGCGCATGGAGTCGGACCTAATCGGCTGCGGGTCATATTCAGGGACATGTGATATGCAAGAAAATATGGGGCTTGGCTTAGCATCGCTAGCTTAGGGACCGGCCGCTGCACAGACCCCCAGCAACAGCTGCAACCCGCCCCGGGGCAGAGTAAATCCGGCCAGGCTGCGCTCCACCCTGGTGCTGGGAGCCTGGGTGGTCACACCTCCCCCAGGGGCTTTGTACACGCCACAGCACTGGCCTTTAAGGCGGCTTAAATGCCCTTTTGCACCGCTTTAATGGCATTGCTGCTTGCACACTCGACAGCATAGTCCGCTTTAATGGTGTTGCTGTTTGCACGCTCAGCAGCATAGTCTGCTTTAATGGCGTTGCTGTTTGCACGCTCAGCAGCATAGTCCGCTTTAATAGCGTTGCTGTTTGCATGCTCAGCGGCATATTCTGTTTTAATGGCATTGCTGTTTGCACACTCAGCGGCATATTCTGATTTAATGGTGTTGCAGTTTGCACGCTCAGCAGTGTAGTCCACTTTAATGGTGTTGCTGTTTGCATGCTCAGTGGCGTAGTCCGCTTTAACGGAGTTGCTATTTGTACGCTCAGCAGCATATTCTGCTTTAATCGCATTGCTGCTTGCACACTCAGCAGTGTAGTCTGTTTTAATGGCATTGCTGTTTGCATGCTCAGCGGCATAGTCCACTTTAATGGAGTTGCTGTTTGCACACACAGTGGCATATTCTGTTTTAATGGCGTTGCTGTTTGCACGCTCAGCAGCGTAGTCCACTTTAAATAGCTTTGGAGCTTAGCAAGATGAAACACCTCCAAGGTGCGTTAGTTTGCTACCTAACGAAGTGCAGCAGTGCATGGGGCTCTGGAAGCCCACGTGCTCGGGGCTTGGTGGGCATTCAGTGCCCCGTGCACTGTCGTGTGTCCCCTCCACCCCCGCTTTCTCCTGCTGCTGTGCAACACGACAGCAGTCCGTGCAGGCAGGTAGACTCAACTGAAGACAAAAAAAAAAAAAGCGGTGAGGAACCTGATTTTTTTTTTTTTCCCTCCCAGAGCCTGCCTGCCTGAGCCAGGCAGGGCCCGGTGCTTCCCTAGGCAGTGGCGGCACCCCCTGGGTTCCAGCAAGTGGGTGCTACCGGGGGGCACCACCACCGTGGAGGGAAGCATCGGGCCCCCTCGCAGCTCAGGGACTGCTCAGCCGGCCAGCAGCTCACCCCTACCCTTATCGACCGAGAGGCAGGTATGGATCAGGCCCCACCCTTGTGTACACGCCACAGGGGTTTAGTTCGGTTTAATTCTCCCTAAATTGAAACAGTGGAAACAGTTCAACTTAGGGAGAACTAAACTAAATTAACCCCTCGTGGCATGTAGAAGCAGCGTAAGGTCACTGCTGCAACTGCAACATAGGCATCTCCTTCCACCATGCCCTCACCGCTGCCTCTCGTATCCTCATTTACCTCTGAGGGCAGGTTGTGAGTGTGTCACCCTTGCTTCTGCTGACACGGAGTTGGTTTCATCAACTGGCCACTCACTAACTGGCTGCTCCTTTCATGTGACAGCATCAGGCAGGCACAAAAGGGTAGAAGTCATTGTGTTCTGGAAATCTCAACTCAACTTAAAGCAGCTGAAACAAATGGGTCACAATATCAGGGATGTGGTTTAATAAACAGACTTCTTTTAAAATGAAACTTCAACTGAAGCGGGTTTGTATTAAGGATTTGTTTTTTTCAGTTTTGATTTCTGTCAAGATAAGGAAGAAAAAAGACCTTCAGAAAATTCTTGGGCAAGTCCTTTTTGTGCAAGGTCCTCTTGTGAACTGTGTGATTATCCTGCCCTGATACTGTACTGCAAACCGGAACAAGGGGCATGATTAGAGTCCATCTAGATGCTACTAAAAGAAACATCCGTGTCATAAAATGCAGTAAGTTAACAAAGACCGTACTAAAATTATTGTCGTGTTTTGCTCTGTTCCATTCCAGCCTGAGTTTCGTGATGGAAAGGGACTGAATTTTTAGACATACCTATCAAATGACAAATATCCAGAGGGCTGGTGTTTGTGCGGGCCTCTTTGGAAGTACCGATTTCTGTTTTTAATTTTTAGCTGTACATCTGGAGGAAATTATTTTACTTTTGATTTATTCGATATTGATTTTCCAACACACTACTTTTGATAATTCTCTTTGCACAAAGACATCTGGGAGAACAATGCAGTGTTTTATACAATTTAGATGAGGAGATTCGGGGCTTGGGGTTGCATATGCAAGCTTGCTTTTTCTTGGTCTTCTTTCTTTCTTTTTTCTTGTGTTTATGGCCATCAGTGAGCCCGGGAACTGAGCTGTGTTTTGTAGATGTGATGTAGTGGGTAAATCAGTGACATATTTAGCTGCATCCTTCCACTTTTTTAAAGTATCCTAAAGGAAAATGTCTTAATCTGTTATAACTGCTAGCATCTGATAAAGTGAACTCTGGCTCATGAAAGCATCCATCTCTCTGATTCAGTTAGACTATCAAGTGCACCTCTACCCTGCCTTCTCCCATTTTAGTGGCATGGTACTGTTGAAGCCTAACAAGGGCCTGCCTAGACTATAAATGCAGTTGTATAAGGAACTATAACCTAATGCTGTTCCAGTTCATACTGCAGACAAAACCAATGGATGAAGAACACAGTGAACATCTCCCCGTGCCATGGCCTGGCAAAGCATTGCGACCGAGTCCTAACAATAGCTAGCTGTATTTGTAGTGCAGCTAGGCCAGAAACATCAGACTTTTCCTAATGCCTATAACAGCAAAAACATCAAGACCGTTTGCTCACCACAAAATGTATGAATAATTGACTTTGCCAATTTAACAATTATCCTAGAAAGTTTTTACTCCCACGCATGCAACCAGAAACGAAGAGTTTCTTTCATAACTATTCTGACTTTTAACTGGGAGATGTCCAGTATTTATGGCAACCATGCATATACATACATAGGCAGCAAATATAAGAAAGAAAGCTTTAGTGTTTGTTGCTGTTGCTATTAGCCATTGTCATAGTGTTTTCACTGAGGGTGATTTAAGAATTAGTTTTTACTAACAGTCCATTTTCTCTGGTGAAGCTGTGAAGTCTGGATTAATTATATTGAAATCAGGATTTAATTTGGTTTAAGTATTATAACTGACTGACCAGCTGGCCAGACATTCCTGATTTCCTATTTCTCCACCACCTGCAGCACCCCCCTCCCTATGAACCATCAGATTTCAAAGGCCCCATTTTCTTCTGTATTCGCAACAGGACTGTGTGTATGCAGGGGATTGAGGTTGCTGGGCCTCAATTCCTCATTAAGGCATACAACCGCTGCAGGATGTCTGCATGGTAACAGAGGAAGCTGGAAGACTGAAAGCAAGAAAGACACCAAGGACAAGTCTGGAAGGGAAGGAGGGGTCGAAAAACTTCCCTCTCGCAGGCACACATTTACCAAAATGAATAATGTGATGATACACCAGCAGATCAAATTTTACAGAATGACTCACAATCGTTGTACAATCTGCAGCTCGAGAGACGGGGCCAAGCAGAACTGTGGAGGTAGGAGGGGGGAAAATTAAAACTTGATGCTTCATTTTTGTCTACTCCAAAACAATTCATCCCTTTTCCTTTTTGCTAGCCGTATTAGTGGGACTTCAATGGGAACAGCTGCTTCCTTCCAAGGCCCAGCTGCTGTATTGCTTGGCATTAGCCCCTCACTGGATCAAGCTGAAACAGGACTTGAATTAGAAGCCTAAAATATTCTGTGCATCTGAAAACACTCATTGGTTTCAGCACGTGGGGAGCCTGAGAGCCTGACACTGCATTAATTTGGTCTAAGTGCCCAAGACTAGTT